CGTTTCCTTCCAAGGCGTTGCCTTTCGGAGCAGAGGAAAACGTACCTTTCGGTGATCTGCAAAGAACAGGTGCATTACAAATCTATCGGGTAAAACCCTGAAACAACTGGTATTGGGTTCAAACCTGTTCCATGAATTCATGACACTCGACCTTTTCTTCCTTAGACATGGAAGAAAGAAAATAAGGAATAGCCACCCCGTGTGGAGTGAATCCGTCCCCCGTCGGAAACAGGGATTCATTCGAAGGGAATCGTGGCGGGTTAGGATCAGAAGGTTCGCCTTGGGGAGAAGCCATGTTAAACCGGAAATTCAGAAAAAGAGAACTGCGAAGTTCCTTGTGAAGAAAAGGTTTATTTGGAGATTTCCAAAATCTTATTCTCCTTATAAAAAAATGATATTTCTATTGGAAATTTTCCAAAATCCAACTCTCCTTATATAGAAAAAAATATATAAGGGCACTCACTCGAGTATTTATTGAGAAGGGAAGTTAAACGTCAATCTATTGATCTGACAGTTATAACCTTTCGATTTTCGTGTACATGCACAAACAAGACCTACGAAATATAGGTTATTCAAGTATCACTTAACACCTAGTAGGCGAACTTAATTTCGAACTCGAAATTCGAAGACAATCAATAAATGGTATCACACCTTTTTATCTTTTTAGAGAAAGCAAACAGTTCTCACTGGAGATTTCCCTAATCGAACACATTTGAAGTATCGCAAAGTGTTCTTGTAAGTCGAGCTCTAACCTCGCAACCGAGAGACCGAGGAAAAATTCCAATGTTTTTTCTTTAAAAAAGGCAAGTGGGTCTGATCAGTCTATCTCTCCTATAATTCTAAAACCATTTCGGTTAGGAGGACTTTGCAAACCCTCCAGGTAAAATCGATGGTTTCCACCAAGATTAAATATTTCTTTCTAAAGAAATTTTAATTGAAAACCCCCTTGGGCAAATTATTCAAAACAGTAATAGAAGCCCCCTTGGGCAGAAAACTCGAAAAAAAATAAACAGTCCCATGGCCAACAGAGCGAATTTCATTAAAGGGACAATCCCCATAAAAGGTGAATGCAATCACCATCATTCATTCATAGGCGAACCGCCTTCATCTCCTACTCGGCTTGAGACAAGAGCACCCCCGACGTTAGCATCTTGAGTTGTGGGAACCACCTCTGGGTTAAGCGAGCTAACATCTTGAGGGGGTTCGCTCCTTGACTCAAAGTCGTCTCCCATAATCGAGGAGATGGCAGGATCCTAACCAGAGAACCCTTGAGCTCGTCCCGAGGAGATTCTGTCAACATTGGTTCCGAACTCATTGAAATGAGCGCGAGGAGAACCAGTTAACATTATCTCGTCCAGAGATAAACCAATATTTGGTTCAGTCAGTGGAGGGGAATCAGCGAACTCAGAAGCAAACTGCTGCAAATTCAAATATGGCTGAGGAGCAATAGCTAGCTTAGCTTCAGTCTCAGCGAGCTCAGCGATAACTGTCTCCTTTTCTTCAGCCAAGTTGACTGTTCCGTCCTCTATCTCCTTGATCAGATCGAGATTGCTCTTCATCTCATCACGTTCGGAGTTAAGTTTGTTCCAAGCTTTATCTGCAGTGATAAATTCCTGCACAGCAAGAAGAAACTTTTGCCTAGCTCCCTTAACCTCCTTCCGAGCATCATGAGATATTTTGCGAACATCTCGATCTTTTAGTTCGGAAAGAGACTCATTTTTGCGTTCGAGCTCCTCAGCAGCTGTTTTAACCCTGTTAAGCTCTGATCTCAGAAGCTCGATCTCGCCTTTTGCGAAGTTATGATCAGCGAGGGCAGTCTCTAGCTTTTGATCTGTCTCAATCAAGGTCTTCCTTGTCTCCTCGCCATATCTTTTGAGTCGCTCGGTTTCTTCCTGGCGAGCCGAGTCGAGGCCAGCAGTCTCCTGCACAAGCCGATTGGAAGATTGCAGTTTCTCAATCTCTCCTTCGGCAACAGCAGCTTTCTTGGAAACTTTGGCAAGCTCCTCTTCGTAATGATTGATGATGCCATTCACGTCGAGAGTTGCCTAATGAAAGAAGATGCATTTTTAAAAAAAAAAAAAATTTCGAAATCGGTTGTTTAAGGATGCAAATAGTCAAACCTGGGAGGAGTGGAATGAATGGCTGATATACATCTTCTTGATATCAGGCTTCCACCATTCAAAGGACGGGAGTTTCTTCCCAAAGCGGGTGTGGAAGCACCTAAACATATTCCCAATCTTCTCTTTATCTAGAATAAAGATAGTTATGTGAGGATTGAGCCTCTTAAAAAGTCGATTAATCTCAAGTAACAAGATGATAATTAAAGGTTACCTGATTGGGAAGAAGCTCTGGCAACAACTCCCGAGCTCGGAGACGATCGAACCCTAGAGGTATTGCCTCGGGGACGTCTAGGGGGTAACATCCCTGAACCCAGCGGTTCCTTTAAAACAATTCCTGAATCAGGATGTATCAGCAGGTTCAGGAATTGACAGATTCGAAGGAGCGGCTCTGCCCTTCCTTGTGTTCTTGGGACGTCCCTGGAGCAGGGGTTCAAGTTCCTCGGCCTTCCTCTTCTTCATGAGAGGAGAATCACCTGTAAGGCCTTCCTCCTCAGCAGTGGCAGCGACCACGTTGTCTGCTGTTGGGGTGGAGGGAGGAGCATTGTTCACAGCAACCGCCATTGACTTTGAACCTTCAAGAGATCCATCGTCAACTAGGAGAGTTTTCCGGTAGACTTTGTCGTCCCCGGTGGAAGTTGCATTTTTCTTATTTCTCCCGACTAGGGAAATCTGATCTTTGACCTTTTTGTTTGCCTCTTTGATCTTTCTCCTGTCTCGGGCATTCAGACTCGAGAGATCAATTTCAGCGGGAGGAGGGTCGACGGGGTGAGTGAGGCTCATTCTGACAGAAAATCCGGCACCGTGAATTCTTTCCAAAGTAAAAGAATTCCAATTAACTGGCCTCTCCAAGACGGCCTTGTAGAAGTTGAGAAAATCAACGGATGGGACTGGCCGAATTTGGGGACCTGCGAGAAAACAAGGAAATGTTGAAACGCAGTTTGGAATAACATAGGAAATTTATTCACTTAAGTCCTAGTTTCTACCCAAATTCGATGACCAGTGGATTCGAAGGAGTTCGGAAGAACTCTGAATAGAAAAATTATTTATGCGGAAGAAGAACCAAAACTTCCTCCAGGCGTTGTCCTTTAGGGGCAGACCATCAATAAGATTCCGATCCACGATCGGATAAAGGGCATAATACCCAGAAGTTTGGGATTCGCGAGCCTGGAAGAGTTCCAAGAGCTCGCTAAGTCCCAGCGAGTAGCCCGCCTCCGCCGCAACAGTGAAGGTACACAAAAGATACCGGAGCATGTTGGGCGACATCTGAGAGAAGGCAATTCCCAGATGGTTGAGGTAGACGAGAAGTATCTCAGGAAGGGGAACGAATAAGCCGCACCCTTTGAAATAAATTTCGTAGGCACAGTAGTAACCTTCTCGCCCCGACTCCGGAGATTCGTAGGGCTCCGGAACTACCATCTCTACCTCAGGGGGGATGTGACATAATCTACGAAGATCGTTAAGAGAATTGACAGTCGATTCACTCTGGGGGTGAAGATCAAACCCGTCTCCGGTTTGGATTTGGGGTTCGGTTCCTTCACCCATGAGAGCTTCGAAATCATCAGCCTCATATTCGCAAAATTCGGAAGAAAGGTTCGACATTTTACGAAAGGAATTTTTACCGAAAGGAAACAATAACTTCTGTAATAAGAATGAAAGTTCTCTAGGTAAAGAAGATAAGATGGAAAAGTAATATTACCTCTTAGAACCCTAAAGTATGATGAAAGACTGCCTCGAGAATATTGGGAAGTGGGACAGTTTTCCCTGCAGTATTAATATAGAATTAGAAAATTAATGATGACGGTTGTTAGGGAAATCAAATCATCTGATTATCCGAGATCGGCGTAATAGCGTAAAACATAGAATAATTCCAGAATGTTAAAGATCTCGAGTCATTAATTACTGTTTACTTAAGTCTTCCAAGCCGAGCACTCAGCTCGCAAGACTTGGGGGGCTAAATGTTGGGGTCGGATCCCACACATTTTTGGTAGGATCCACTTGGATCTGTCCACGTCATTATTACATAATAATCCTCTTGGATTTCTAGATATTTTATTGGACTTAACCAGTTGGGAGTTCGATTCAGTTTATTAAAGAGCTCGATCTTTGCCAGTTTGGAGTTCGCTCTTATTCAACATACAGTTCGCATAGAGAAAGGCCGAAGCGAGGAGAATATTGTTCAAGGCTCGCGGTAGCGTCAAGACGCAGGAGTTCGGAGTCAACAAGAAAGAGTTCGGAAGATCCACGCGAAGCCCAAGATAGTTCGAATTCAAGCCGTTTCGGTCAAATTGTAACTTACGTGATTAATGCGGATCAATGCGATTATGAGCAGTAAATGACCGCATTGATCATGTTTTCTCTATAAAAACAACCTCAAACGCATGTGTTTGAGGGGACGAATCTCATTACTCATTACTTCTAAGTAATACAATATACTTTCTCTCTTGACTACTTTCGCAAGGCATTTTGTACTCCGTTCTTGTCAAATTTCTTTACTTCTTTTCTTGGTTGATTTCTTTTTCGAATTCTCATATTCATTTCCTGATTTTACAAGAGTTTTTCTTCACTGAAATACTTAAAGATAATCGAGTGTGAATCCTACATCCACATTGTGGTCGAGTGATTTCTGTAATTCTGCATTCATTTTTGTTTCTGCATGTTCACTTAGGACTGTTAGAAACTCCAAAACCTGTAATTGCTTGGCTTGACTTAGTGACTTCTGATCACATCTCATCTGTTTGCATCACACCCATTTGGATTGACACCTAAAATACTACAACGACACGATAGTGTTTTAGGATTAATTGATCGAAAAACCTATTATCACTTATCTTAGAATTATTAAGACTTGTTTGTATGTTTGCTATGCTATGATTAAGGTTTTGTTATGACTTGTCTTTATCCAAAACAATTTGTCTTTGTCACAAATGCATCCAAAAAGGGAAAACAAATTAGAAGTAGGAGTTTACATGATTTCAAACATCCGAAAATGACTTTACATATAGCTAATCCATCCAGAAAGGGCTAATCCATCCATCAATAGCAAAACAATAAGAGAGTAGAGTTTACATCTCACACATCCGAGAATAATATATCCATCAAAAAAGGGAAAAAGAGAGGTAGATCCTTAACCATCTCCATCATCATTCTCGCAAAAAACCATCATCACTACCTAATTATTACTTCTGAAAAGCAACCATTGACTTCCTTGAGGTGCAGTAGAAGAAACATCTTGAACTTCAGCTTCCCCGTGTCCTGAAGTTCCAGCTTCCTCTAGACCAATCATTGCAGCTTCCATTTCTGCTTCATCTTGAGCAGGCTTCCTTGCCTTACCCTTAGGTCTCCCAGGAGGGCGTTTGAATGGTGGTCCGTAAATGTGTGGTCCTCCAGTCTCCTCCCAGAACTTGCTTCCATTGACAGGCTCCAATCCTCTACGGTAAGTGTCTTTGTGTTTAGCTGTCAAATAGAAATCTGAAATGAAATCCTCAACCTCTTGACAATTCTCTCTGATTGCACAAACAGCATGGCGACAAGGAATTCCTGTTAAATCCCACTTCCTACATGCACACTCCCTTTTAGACAAGATCACACTATATGAAGTACCAAACTCTAAAATCTCATATCTTCCACTAGTGCTTGAAAGAGAATAGCAATTCTGAGCTTCTTCACATGATTTCTCAAGCTCTTTCCTAGCTTTCTTTGTGTGCTTTGCAGTCTCCTTATCAGCTGTTTGAAACCTTGCAGCAATCCTCGTCACTTCAAGCAAACAAAAATGACATGTATCAGTGTTTATTAACTCGATAATAGTCCACAACTAGACTTAAAAAATGATATAAACAATGTTATTCTATCCGACAGTAACCCGACGCAACCCGACAAAAGAATATTATTCAATCCAAAAGTGAAATCTTTGCTTTTAAACAATATGACTTTAAACAAACCACTTAAACAAATAATCCCTACAAAACCCGACAATACACAAAAGAAATCAACAAACAATGTAAAACCCATAAGTTAAAATCAAACCCAGAAAACCCGACAAAACTCATTCGCAAAATCAACCAAAAAAACTCGAGTTCTTACCTCATTGGAACGAGATTCCGTTTCTTTCACTCTCTAAGCTTCAATCGTGACGATCTTCGACAAGAAATGAGGCGATTTGAAAGGGGACACTTCGTCGCTCATGAACCCTAAATCGCCGAAAATGAGAGAGTTTGATTTTGGTCTCTCTAATTAGGTTTATTTTTGTTAAATTCGTTTTGGGCTGGGTTTAATTTTTGTTAAGCCCACTAAATTTCGAATTGGGTTTTAATTATGGCATCTGGGTCGGGTTAAGGTTTGCGTGTGGGTCGGGTTTATTTGAATCTGAGTCGGGTTTAAAATTGGGTATCTCCGGTGCCGGATTCCGTCGTCTCTTTTATCGGACCGGTACCGGAATGTATGTTTATGGTGTCGGCACCATGACTCATGTTAGTTTGTGCATGTCGTTATGTGATTGCAGTAGTTGGTGTGGCTGTCGCAACATTTTCTTTGTCTGCATGTGTGACGATGTGATGACGTGTTGTTGGCGTAGCTGAGAAACATTTTCCCAAAACAAAAAAACTCACGTTACTGAGAGATTTCTCTCCAATGTCGCCGTTTTTTAATATTTAAAAATTTCCCATGGGTAGGTCTTGAGACCACAACGAATAAACCCCGTTTGAGGAAAGCGGGTAAAGTAAATTCGGCCCGTTAAAGCCCATTTATTTCCAACACAAAAAATACAATTAGAACCGGAGACTTCACGGATAGGGTAAAAAAGACTCAGAGGTTAATCGGAAGTATATTTGGGGTTAAGAAGCTTCTTCTCAATCATGTATAACTTCATTTTTCAACTTTGGTGACAGCTAAACAAAAGTAAGTTATAAGATATTTAGTATCTTTCTTCTTCAACTGAATCGCGAACAAGCCACCACCACTCGGATCTCTCTAATCGCCGATCGGAATCCGCCATGGGAGTACCGGCGTTCTACAGATGGCTCGCCGACCGATACCCGAAGTCAATTAGTGACGTCGTTGAAGAAGAACCTACCGATGGAGGTCGTGGTGACCTAATTCCTGTTGATATCACCAGACCTAACCCTAACGGCTTCGAGTTTGATAATTTGTATCTCGATATGAATGGTATAATTCATCCTTGTTTCCATCCTGAAGGAAAGGTATGTTATAGCTTGGAAATGTTTTGGTTTAGGGTTTGAGTTGATTTGTATCAGGTAGTACTAGTATTTATGGATTTGTTTGCTTTATGAGAAATGAAATTACTTGAGTTTAGGTATTTTGGTGGAGAAGATGATTGTTGTGGTTTGTGTTCATAATTTAGTACAGTTATGGGAGAGGGAGAAGTATACTAGTTGTTGCTTTTTGTCGATTTTGCTTACGGAAAGTCAATGGAAGCAATGGCCAACTTGGTTATACTTGATTTTGAGGATATAACTTCTCTGAAGTAGACATGGGTTTGTTTGTTGTATGGGAAATGAATCACTTAGTTTGGTATTTTGGTGGGAAAATGATTGTTGTTTGTGTTCATAATTTAGCTCATTTAATGGGGAAGGGAGGAGTGTACTAGTTGTGGCTTTTCGAGTATTTGCTTACAGAAAGTCAATAGAAGCAATGGCCAGCTTGGTGATACCAGATTTTGGGATCTAAAGTTCAGTTTAGAAACTGATTTGGATATATTATTTGGGAAGTTGGATGGAACTGGCTGTGTGTATTTTGTTCTTGTATCACGTATGCGAGTCTATAGTCGTTTTTTTTTTTAAGTTTTTGACTAGAGAAATAAGAGACAGCAATGTTACTAGTTTTTTATTAGAGTTGAGGAGATATTATTATCCATGGGAGTGAGTTTGCGTAGCAATATGTGTTATGGTGATACTTGATTTCCATTAAAGATTTTACTAGCTAATCATATTTTGATTAAAATGCAGCCTGCACCTGCCACATACGATGATGTATTTAAATCGATGTTTGAGTACATTGACCATCTTTTTACTTTAGTACGTCCGAGGAAGATTCTTTATTTGGCTATAGGTGCTTGTTCCTTCCTTCTTCTTCCCTGTCTGTTTTGCTCTATGAGATTGGATCTGATTAAATATGATGTTACAGATGGAGTTGCGCCCAGAGCAAAGATGAATCAGCAGCGTTCTCGACGTTTCAGGGCTGCAAAGGACGCAGCAGAGGCTGTATGTTCTCTTTATATTTATTCCTCTATCACATTTACTCATGGCTTTGCATGGGTCACTGTTACTTATAATATATCTGGTTGTATAGGAAGCTGAAGAAGAGAGGTTGAGAAAAGATTTTGAGATGGAGGGCCAAATCTTGTCTGCGAAAGAGAAAGCTGAAACCTGTGATTCAAATGTCATTACTCCTGGGACCCCTTTTATGGCTATACTGTCAGTCGCTCTTCAGTATTACATCCAATCTAGGTTAAACCATAACCCTGGCTGGAGATATGTTAAGGTGATACTGTTCATCTAACTTAGCCGCTATTTCCAAACTGTACAAGACTTTTTTGCATTCTTGCAGTTCCTCTTTTTTTTTTAGCGTTGTCCCTTTACTCATGGTTTTAAAGGTAATTTGTCTCCCTAAGAATTCGTGGATTATTATTTGAAGGTTATTCTTTCTGATTCAAATGTTCCGGGCGAAGGAGAACACAAGATAATGTCATACATTCGTCTCCAACGTAATCTTCCTGGTTTTGATCCAAATACACGGCATTGTCTATACGGTCTGGTTAGTGTCAACCCACAGTGTAGTTGTTTTACTTCCTCTTTTCTTAATAAGGTGTTGGTGCTTCTTCCAAAAAATTGCACATTACATTTGCCAAGAACTGTATATAATTATGCAGGATGCAGATTTGATAATGCTCTCCTTAGCTACACATGAAGTTCACTTTTCCATCTTAAGAGAGGTAGCTTATTTCCACCCCTATGCTCTATATTTTCTTTGATATTCAGTGGATCAAATAATGGGTCATCTTACTGATTCCAGGTTATCACTTACCCTGGGCAACAAGAGAAATGCTTTGTGTGTGGACAAACTGGTCACTTTGCTGCAGATTGCCCTGGAAAATCAGGTAGCACAAATGCAGCAGCTGATATTCCAATCCACAAGAAAAAATATCAGGTTTGTAGTTTTCCTTGTTATCTTCATGAGATCTTGCTGCAGTGAACAATAGGAAATTATTTTCTTTTAGTTTTGGAGCTTTCTCTTATTTGTCTGATGTAATTTTTTTTTTTTTAATAGTTCCTGAACATTTGGGTGTTGCGAGAATATTTGCAATATGAATTGGCCATTCCAGATCCTCCTTTTATGATCAACTTTGAGAGAATAATAGACGACTTTGTATTCCTTTGCTTCTTTGTTGGCAATGACTTCCTACCTCATATGCCTACCCTGGAAATTCGAGAGGTATGTACATGAGGAAAGCTTTTTATTGCTTTAAAGATTGGCTGTTCATAAAATGATGGTTGTGTAGACTGTAAAATATAGTAATAGCCTTGTGAAAGATAAATATCCTATTTCATGCTCTACAATGCCATTGAGGCAATGAAAAAATAGTCTGTAGCGAACAAAAAACAACAAAGTCTGTAGCTTAAACAATTTAAATCTTTATACTCAGTTCTTTGTTACTTCAGGGGGCTATAAACTTGCTGATGCATGTTTACAGAAAGGAGTTTACAGCTATGGGAGGCTATCTAACAGATTCTGGTGAGGTAAGTTATTGGTCTTTTTTCCAATCTTCTCCCACACTTCATTCTTGCTTCACATTGCTCAATACCCTATTTTGTATGAGCTGTAGAAATGGTCAGTTATCTTGTGGAAACTATTCTCTTGAATTGATTCACTTCTATTTTGTCTTGCTATATGATTACTAATGAAAATCTGAACTGCAGTATATCCGTGGGCTTCGTTTTTTTACCTTTAACAATCTTCTCTTTTTCTGCATTAATAGGTTCTACTAGATAGGGTAGAGCATTTCATTCAAGCTGTCGCTGTAAATGAAGATAAAATATTTCAGAAAAGAACGCGGATAAAACAGGTATTCCTGACCTATGCCCTATTTTCCCTTACACAACCATTAGGAGGCTTTAGGGACTGAGGTTTCTCACACCCTTATGAGGCTAATGGTGTGCTGATGTTGGTATTAGTCAATGGATAACAATGAAGAAATGAAACAAAGATCAAGAAGAGACCCATCTGAGGTACCACCTGAACCGATAGACGATAAGGTAAAATACTTTACGGCAAAGCAATTTTACATGTGCTTGTGAGCTGGAGAGATTCTTATATCTTTATAGACAAGGAAATTAGTTTAGGAGGTACGACTAAAATTGCTCTTTCATTTTGGGTAGATTAAATTAGGAGAACCAGGCTACAAGGAGAGGTATTATGCTGAGAAATTTAGTACGACCAATCCAGAAGAAACTGAGCAAATCAAACAAGACATGGTGAGTCTTACTTCAATTAACTCTCTCTGTTACCCTTCTGAATCTCTGATGATTTGTTATAATAAGTCTAAAGTTGGAAAAAGGTTTCTTTAGGCCATGTGCTACTTTGGTTTTGTGTGCATTTAGACTCTTAACATCCTATTAACTCTCTCATGTTGAAAGTTTCTGACCACCAAATTTAGCACTTAAGATTTGCACCGTTCTTTTTATCTTTTATCGAGACTTATTTGCGCGATATGAACTACTTTCTTGAAATGACTCCCGACACAGTTTTGGATGAACATTAACTTGTAATCAAGTCTGATCACTGATGACCTATTTTCCTTGTAGGTACTAAAATATGTTGAAGGTTTGTGCTGGGTTTGCCGGTACTACTACCAAGGTGTATGCTCTTGGCAATGGTAAGTCTAACTTTACAAAAAGTTCACAATTAGAAATTTAGAATGTCAGGTTATTCTCATGAGAGCTATGCATTCTAACAAATACTGGAATATCTTATTTGATAGTTGACTGATGGGTCTCTTCTCAGGAAAGACCTTGATGTTAATGTCACTTACTGAGAATTACTAAGTTGCAAATTTTAGATGTAAGTCTGTGTTTTCTAACTGTTTCTTCTAATTGTTTCAGGTTTTACCCATACCATTATGCTCCATTTGCTTCAGATCTTAAGAATCTACCTGATTTGGAAATCACATTTTTTATTGGAGAGCCCTTTAAACCTTTTGACCAGTTAATGGGAACCCTGCCGGCTGCAAGGTTCTTCACTTTTGTTGAACCATTATTATAAATATTTGGGCGCCTGTGGTGATGTAAATTATGCTTCTTGGTTGTTGCAGCTCAAATGCTCTGCCTGGAGAATACCGGAAGTTAATGACTGATCCCTCATCCCCGATCTTGAAATTTTACCCTGCTGGTAATTGTTGGTGGTGAATATATATGTATTGTTGTTTTCCTATGTATTATGCTGGATAGTGGACACTCATAAGTCTCTGTTTATAGATTTTGATATTGACATGAATGGAAAGCGCTTCGCCTGGCAGGTTCATGCTTTTCTCTGTTCTGTGGATATAGTGATCATGTTATCATGCCGAGACTGTTTATTCTGTTCTTCAGCTATTGATGTTGTGTGTTTTGAACTTGATGTGATCCAGGGTATTGCAAAACTTCCTTTCATTGAGGAGAAACTATTGTTAGCTGCTACAAGGAAGCTTGAAGAAACGCTAACGGTTTGAACTGAAGCTTTACTCGAATTACATATGCATATTGTTTTGGTCAAAACTTCATTCTCTCCAAGGAAACTAGAATTAAGAATGTTTTTTTGTTAGTTATGAAGTAGCTTTACAGCTTAGATTGCCCTAGTTATCAGTTTTCGTCGCAGTGTGTGGTGACTAAAATTGTAAGTGATTAATTACAGTATGGATCCATCTCGCAGGTGGAAGAACGGCAACGCAACAGTGTGATGCTTGATTTGTTATACGTACACCCCGCTCATCCTCTGGGCCAGCGGATCCTGCAGTACTACCATTTCTACCAGCACTTGCCACCACATGAATGTCTTCCATGGATGATTGACCCGAATACTAGGTTAGCTTTGATTGGCTAAATTGATAATTAACAAAGCCGTGTGTAATCTTGATATCGATCGTGTTCTTATCTCCAATTCTTTTGTGTGTGTTGCAGCCAAGGAATGAACGGTTTTCTTTGGCTTAGTGAAAGGAATGGTTTCCAAACTAGAGTGGTATCCCCAGTCAATGGTTTGCCATGCATTGAGCAGAACCGAGCCTTGTGCGTTTCTTGTGCTTCACAAGTTAGTGTTTTATGAAATTGATGAAGTCTTGATTTTCTCACTTAGATTTTCCTCTACATTTTCCAGAAATGTTACATACCTGTGTCCTGCCAAACACTCTCATATCTCAGAACCACCAAGAGGAGCGATCATTCCGGACAAGGTATGGTTCCCCAAGAATTAGTCATGAATAGTATTCCATCTCTGGCATTAAAAGAAATAGAAACTTGGGTTTTCTTATTAGCGTATAGGAGAATCTACTTGCTTGCATCTCAAATGTCTATGTTTTCTTACCAGTCTATTTATCTGCTTAATATTGATTGCAAAACAAGTGTTCTTATGAAAGTTCAATTGGCAGATCTTGACGTCAGTAGACATAAAGCCATTTCCTCCTTTATGGCATGAAGACAATAGCAACCGACGCCGACAAGCCCGAGATAGGTAAGGAGATTATACTGCAGACTGATATTTTGAAGATCATAGTGACTGTGAAGTATGTTAAAAACCATATGATATATCTACTGTGCAGGCCACAAGTGGCTGGAGCTATAGCCGGACCTTCGCTGGGAGAAGCAGCTCATCGTCTGATCAAAAACACCCTTAACATGAAATCCTCTACTGGTGCGGCTTCAGGATTAATTGACCCAAACGGATACTACCGAAATGTACCTGGTAATCATTATTATGGTGGAGTCAATAGACCAAGAGCACTGGGTCCCTCTCCTTACCGGAAAGCTTATGACGATGACTCGAGCTATTACTATGGAAAGTATAACAATAGCTCACAGGGAATGTTTAACAATGGTCCAAGATATCCTTATCCATCAAATGGGTCCCAAGACTATAACCGTAACTACAACTCCAAGATAGTAGCAGATCAGCAGAACCGTGGTGGACTTAGAGCTGGAATGGCTGGTTTATCGATAGAAGATAACGGCAGAAGCAAACAATTGTATTCAAGTTATACAGAAGCTGCTAATGCAAATTTGAACCGGTTGCCTTCACCACCCACCCAATGGATCGGTACACAGCCTGGTGGTAATTTTGTCGGTGGATACTACAGGGAAGGAGTTGGGTATGGCGAAACAAATGGAAAACCGGTAAAGAAAGTAATTTATCAGGCCAAGACACAACAAAGTCATCGAGGCACAAACGAATGAGATTTTAGTTGAGGCGATGGAGGTTTCTCTGTACAGGTACGATGCAACGTTCTGCAGCATTTTCTGCCACCAGTTCTCTTAAATTTCTGGCTAAAGGCAAATGTACAATGTACCTTTGGACATTTCTTTTGTTATATATATTTATTTACATTAAACTTGTTTAGAGTCTTTAGACAGCTTTTGGCAATTTGATATTGGACTTTCTCTCTTCCTTCTACAGCATTTCTCTATTCGTTTTCAAATCCGAGTAAGAATATCTCTACCACTGGAGTAACATTGTTAGATTAAGGTTCTTCTGACCAGGCTTTTTCAATAGAATGGATGGTAGTATCATATTGATGAGAATAATGGTGTAATGAAACATTATAAAAATTGGTAACATCATTAACATAATTATTGGATGAAATAGCCGCTCAAAAAAAGCATGAAGAAGAGTAAGAGAGAGCCAAAGATTAAACCAGTCTTCTGACCAGAAGTAAGAGCATTGCCACCAAGTCCATATTGCTGATTCTGAGCAAAACCAGCAATCTCAACCATTTTACTCTCAAAGAAACTCTGAGCAGCTCCACAAGTAGGACATCTCCAATCTTCAGGCAACTTATCAAACTGAAAACCTGGTGGAATCGGGTACGATGGGTCACCCGCTGATTCATCGTACTTGTAACCACATGATCTACACTCATATATCCCAGTGTTTAGAACTGCAAACTTCTCCTCCATTCTTCGTTTCTCTATAGTGTCTTCAGCTTCTTTGGTCTCTGTTTCTTGGGTTTGGTCGGATGAAGCAAGAGGCGTCGTGGCATCGTCTCTTGAGACAGCGAGGTAACGAGAATGTTGAGTTGGGTAAGAGATGGTGATGAAGATGTGGTGGTGAAGATGGTGTAGTTTCTTGCCATATCTGAGAAACGGCGTCGGTTTGATGAGAGAATAATGGGAATGGGACTGAGAGAGAGGGCAGAAGGAGAAGGTAGCACTCGCCATTGTTGTCTTTACTTCTTATAATTTCTGAGTTTGGTCATTGTTAGAGAAGAAGGATCCATCGGAGACGAGAGGTACGAAGGAGACTTATGCTTGGATAAGATTTTTGAAAAGCATTGTGACAACCACGTGGCCTTTTTTCATTCAATCTATCTTATTTCTTTACTTACCCCCAAAAACTTTTATTGGATATAAATTGTATTTTGTTAAAACTCTCAAGTATTGGCATATCCATTTTAAAAAATTTAACCAAAACAAAGGTATCAGCATATCCATTTTAACACCCCTTGACCCTTGTGTGTGTATAGATACATTTTACTTATTGCATATTTTTTTTTTCTTTTTTCGTTATAAAATTAGATTTAAGACTAACCCGCTAGACTATATACCACTTTTTACCATCAAAACTCATTCTCCACAAACTAATGAGGGGGAGTTATTAATCAATCATGAGTTTCAATTCAATTCTCAAAGTCTTACATATTTAAGAATTAGAATTTGATATTATTATAAAGAAACTATTTGTGTGGATTCCAATATTTCAAATATAAGATTCAGACTATCCCCTAACACCTAATTATAAAGCATGATTTAGTATCATTAATTGAATAACAATGAACATTGGTTGGATTTCAATTCTATTAAAATTCATGATTGAATAACTTTTTAGTTGTTATACCACACAAACTTTCAGGCTCATTTGATTTCAACTAATACGTTTAACTATGACATTTTTCAAAAATATATAATAGTTCCAATTTTCAATTATCTTTTCAGGGCTTTTATTTCCGGGAATGTCAAAAAATTTTGATGGCAAAAAGAAAACCTCGATTAATAAAGGGTTTTGCAAAAAGAACTTCCAACTCACCTTTTGCAACTTTATCCTTCACCTCAAAAATGTAGATTATTCATACGAAGTCAAAAATAATACGCAATATAATATATAACCCTTACACTAAACGTTTTCATGGTCACATACATTAGTTTTTTTAAATTCTAAAGGTAGATGAACTCGTCAAAGTGAGGCATTCAATTTGACATATTATTCCTCAAAATTTTACAAACTTAACAGTAGCAAAAAAAAAAGTTACATTGCGCATTATTTTTGGTTTCATGCGATTAATCTGTATTTTTTTTTGAGGTGGATGGTAAAGTTGCAAATTAGAGGTTTTGTGATAAACCAGTAAACTGGCCCAAAATTTTTCACAATACATTATAAATTACACAATCCATTTTGTATGGAAATATGAAAACGTTAAAACCAAAGAAAATAGTCAAATGAATCGTGAATTCACACCATAGCAAGGAAAATGTGGATTACCACAGCAGGGAAAACAAATAGATTGGAAACTTTTTGAAGTCTATATTAATACAAGTCATAAAAGGTGTCAACACTATTAAGTGTACAAATTACATATGCAAAGCTACTGGTTCGGCTCAAGCAAAGACCATCCAACGCAACATACTAATACTGTTACTCATCTTTTAAAAGTGTCAGCCATCAAACCTAAATCAACTCTACAAAAGCATGTTATAGCTAAAACCGAACTAAACCGAACGTTAAGACAAAGTGAAGCCTGTCAGAGGAAACCCACAGGTGGTATCTCTCTAGAAACATTTAGATTTACCGTTTTCGACTTTTCACGATTCTCCTTCAAGCTCTTTGCGATCCATATCGCGGTTTCTCTGGGAGACACCTTACCAGGGCCAAAAGGCTTAAGCAACACGTTGAGTTCATCATATCTCCCTTCTTGTAATAATCTGGCACTAAACTCAAGCAACCCTTCCAAAGCATCAGCCCGTTGACGATACGATGATGGGTCAAACCGACATCTTCTTGTAGTAGAGGATGTGGTCTGGCTTGATGCACCTGCAGTTGCATTCTGATCAGATGATGATGACCCGTCGCTTATGTTGTCTACCATGTTGAGTTTGATTCCCTGCCACGTCGTACAAGTTTGAACTGTGCATTTGTCTTTTGTTACAGAGCGGTCTGAGACAGAGGAGCTTTTGGACGATGTTTTCCTTTGCATGGGAGTAAAAAAGATGTCTTGTTCATATGGAGCTAATGGGAAAATGGCAATCTTATCAACTTGTGGCTCATTAATGGAATATTCTGGAGACTTCACATTCTGCAAGATTCCAACTGTTCGGTTGTAAGCTGCAGCTTCTTGGTTTGTAGCCCTTTTCATCAGTGGTAGAGAAGTCCGGCGAGCTGATGGAATTATCTTGCTGGTAGTACCACCACCTGAAACCGGATGCTGAACACAGAGCAAAAGGCAACCATGATCATTAGTGTCTAAGGTATCAGTTCTAAAAGACAATGCATAGAAGGTCCAGAGATAGCTATCAAGTAAAGCTTTTTGGTGTTTGGAAACATGAGACATGTAGAGAAATATAACAGAAGAGGATTTTCTGGTAATGATATTGGCAGCCATGTAACACCAACTGTGAGTTTATAATGATCACTTTGTCGCAGAGTTTTTTTCCAATGGAAATCTGTGTTATTTTTGGTCACTGGTTCTAAGATAACAAAAAGGAGTGAGTAATTACCAAGTGTTCGAATCTCCTTCCAGTTTCCATGATTCTTCTGGATGTCACTGAAGATTTTGCAAGAGGATACTTTGAGACCTTAGAAGCACTTGAAGCAACTTGCTTACATATCACTGTTCCTTTACTGCTGCTCTCAATTGATAAATCTGAAATTCTGCGACTTATACATTTGATAGAAGATGCAGTGTCTTCTTCAGCTTCTGGATTCAAAGCTCTGTCATTCCATAGAGAACTATGTTGTCGTTCTCCAAAGGCTGGACAAGTGACAGCGGGTTCAGAAAAATGAGCTCTCTTCATAATCCTCTTAGAATCTGGCCATTGAGGCGGTAATGTTTTGCGCCTCAGGTTATTGAGCCTGAGTTTGACATCCAGAACATAAGGCTGAAGATGTGGATGTCTAAGTAAATCTGAGGCCTGTGATAATTTTATACTTCACATAGTTAACAAACATTTCCAATTAAGTATATCAACATGCTACGTAAGGTTATACATACAGATGGCCGAACTTCTGGGTTTTTTCGCAGCATGCTTTTGACAAGACTTGGGCTGAAAAAAGGTTCAGAAAATAGCACTGTAAACAAACCAAGATATATATGAAGGTATAAGCAAGACAAAACTCGAAACTTACAATGAACCAGAATATTTTGCAGGGAGCGGAGCCACAATCGTCTTGTTTATCTTATTAATCAGTGCTTGCATATCCTAACAAATATATTTTAATAAGTATCATAATGAAAATGCATCAAAGATGGATATATTTCTAGTACACAACTTACAAAAGCTTTAAATGCCGGCTTAAGATAAGCCATTTCATATATACAGCATCCTGCAGTAAGAATTTTGTGTCGGTAAGTAAATTATCCTAGGATTGTTAAGATGAAATTGGTAGATTTTAGAATGATTTTCTTTGTTTCTCACATCAGAAACTGAATCAAAGAACCAACTAGGGTTTAGTACGAGAGAGTCGCTTACTCTACCAAGCCACCATACCCCAAATCACTTAACAGTTAACACCCCTCACAATCTCTCTGCATCTCGTATTCATAAAGAGACCCTCAAACTAATTAACATATTTAGTCAGTTAACACAGCTGGTCCTTCCGCTACAATCCGAGGCTTTTACACTAGGCTACTTAGAATGATCTAGGAACAAAGAGAACACAAGACTTCATCAGAACTCTCGTTAGTCTTCTTTATTATTAATGAAGACTTCTTAGAAACCTCATGAAAACTAAATTGCAGTAATCATTTTCACGCTCATGTTGGAAGCTTTAGTGGGACAAGCACAAAGAGATAGATTATTGCTTCCTTATGTAGCAAATAAGTGAACTTAACAATCCACTACTAGATGCAGAAAAAACGCACCTAAAGACCAAATGTCAGATTTAGAACCATAAGGTATATCAGCTAGAAGCTCAGGGCACATATAGCTGGGAGTCCCGACAACCTGACATTCATAGGATAAAGAATCTTAGAAGTGACGTAAAGGAAACATGGTGGCAGATATGCACACGATAGAGTAACTATTAGAACTCACGGAGGAAGTAAGATTGTCGGATGTTAGAATCTTGGCTAAACCAAAATCACCTGTAATAGCAATAATTAGGTTGATATTTCTACATTTTTCTGAAGATAGGTCGACAAGAAAAAGCAAAGAGAAGCTTACCAAGGCGTATATCTTGCTCCTTGGTCAAGAATATGTTAGAACACTGGACAGAAATACAAAATATTAGCATATAGACAGTCTCAGCTTTTAGCTTTGTGTTGTGGAGATAGCAACATGAGAATGATACCTTGACATCACGATGAAGAATATGGTTAGAGTGTAAGTACTCAAGGCCCATCAGAAGCTGAACAAGCCACTTGCACAGTTTCTGAAAAAAAAGCACAGAATATAATAATATGTAAATCAGATAAAAAGTTCACGAGAAGCAGTGAGAAATTAAGATCTTCGCACCTCTTCCGAAAAATGCACGCCATTGGATTTCTTGATAGCTTGTGCCCTGTAGCATAAGAGGAATGTGAGGCTGCGTCATTATCTATATAATTAAGCCAAAATGGGAGAAGTTACATAAAGAAAGGTTGAAACAAACAAAATTAAAGACAAAAAAACTAACATGTCCCCTCCTTCACAATAACCTATGACGATGCACACATAGCAAGCCTAAGAGAAACAATACAAAAAGCTTTATCAGATCAAGAGGTGTGGAATGATATAAACTTTTGTTTAAGTCAGAAAGTCTGTCTTACCTTTTCCACCCAAGAATCTTTGTATTCCACAATAAATGGATGACGCATTTTCGAGATGAGCTCCATCTACTCAAAGAAATGATAAAACTTGTTATACAGAGAGCATTAAAAGGTTCAGAACTGATAGAACAAGAATACCAACCTCTTGATGCGCAGACCGTCTGGTCCTCTGCGTTTGCCGGGCAAGACGGATCTTTTTCAATACATATCTAATGAAAACCAATACATGACATCAGAAATTTCAAACTTTCTTTAAGTAAAACAATAAGAGGCAGCAAAAGAAGATAGCATGTCTCACTTTTTCTTCTCATGCTTATGTCTCACTAAAAGAGCTGACCCAAAAGATCCTTTTCCAATTTGCTCAAGAATCTCATATTGTTCCATTTCTAGCTTTTTATTTTCTCACCTGGAACCTAGAAAGGTAAATACAAAAATAACAGTGTGATACTTCATGATTACATTAAAAACAAAGAGAATAAGACACAACAATGTAAACCCCAAGTCAAGTTTACATTTGAGTAAGCAAATGAAAATAACAACAGAGAAACCATCAGATATAGCTTTTAAGTTACATTAGAAGAGAAATTAACTTTGTGGCCAAAGAATCAAATACTTATTCCACATGTATTTGAGGTTCAACTAAACAAGTTACTCTGAAATAATCTACTTGCATTCAAATTTGAAATTAGTACCAAATTTGAAAACCCTAGAGAAAAATTACAGAGATAGACAGAACAATGGATGTCTAGAACGCAACAAGACAGAGCAAACAATGAAGATACATGAAAACTGACCCAAGAAATCAGAGAAAGATCTGATGGCGAGAGTTTAAGAGTTTATGGTAAGAGAAGAAAGCTATTTGGGAGAGTGATTTGTGGGGACGAAGATGACAAATTTGGTAGAGAGATAGTGGACAAGTTAAAGAAACTTTAGATCCATTAATGGTGGCTTTTATGTGACATCATAATTAGATGAATTTGTTTTTTTAAGCTCTCATATGCTGTGGAAATAAGAGTCATATAACACAGAATTAAATGAATTTTCTTTTCAAAGCTAACATTAAATTTTTCATTTTATTTTTAGACTTTTTATTATATAACGTTTCCAAAATGAATTCTTTTATATTTTCAAAATTAAGGATGAGTATTCAACCTTCTTTTTTTTTGGTGGGCTAAAGGGAGACAAATTTTTTTTTTTTTCCTTCTGGAAATAAATATTAGAATGATAAAGAATAAGTTACAACACAATTTTGAAACATTCAAGATGTACCAACTTTAAAAAAAAGAATTAACTCCTTTAAACACTAAAAAATATTAGTCAAAGATAAACACAACTGAAACAGAACATCAATGAGCTAAAGAGGAAAGTCTCTTATCTTCAAAAACCCTATGCAGCCATTGAGGGTGATCTGCAACCACATAGTCATGAAATCTTGCATCCGAAGTAACACTTTGCGCAATGAGAGAAGAACCTCTATTAGCATTTAAACTTACCACCTCCAGTTTCTAGTTTTCAATCTTATCCAAAAAATGTTTAATCTCCACCACCTGATTAGAGAAAGAAGGCCATGCTGTAAGTCTAGTCATCGCACCAAAGACATCATGCGCCTGAGCCGCAAAAATAACCTTCTTCATTTTAAGATTAAACATAGCATCCTTGGCCCAAGTCAAACACATAAGCATGACCACTTTCTTATTGTTCAAACCACAAAACACTTTTCTACTATGTACAATCACCTTACCATCCTCTCGTCGTACCACCCAAGCACCACCACCCAATTTGTTTTTATTGGACCAAGACAAACCCACATTACACTTGACCCATTAAGGTGGGGGAGGCAGCCACGTCTTTTCCTTTGAAACAGATCCCAGGTCCGCCACCTCCTCAGGCTCCCACGACACCTCTTGTGCAACAAACCACTCATCCACATCTTCCCAAATTTTGACAATCGAATCTTAAGGACTGAAACACAAGTTTTCAAAGAAAAACTTGTTTCTATTTTCCATATTCTCCACAAAATCCAGGGAAAACTCTTTTTGGTTCTAAGATCCAATCTTTTATCCAAATGTAATTCATAAATAAATTAGAAATTAGCCAACATAGAACTCATTTCAAAGCCACCTCTAGGTGCAGGCACCCTCGACAACGCCCAAACATGCCTCGCCAAACCACAGTTAAAGAGAACATGATTGGTGGATTCTGGTTCATCCCCACAAACCTGACATCTCACATCGTTCTCCATATCCCTCTTAGCAAACTGCTCACTCACAACGAAGGCACCAGACAAGGCTCTCCACAAAAAAATCTTAATCTTAGGAGCTGTTTGTAAAGACCAGATATTTTCCTTCAGCTTGTTAATAGAGGGTAGACATCTAGCCTGTCTCAAAATAATCACCACTCTTCGTGTGGATGTAGGATTCACACTCGATTGTCTTTAAGTATTTTTGTGGAGAAAAACTCTAAAATCAACAAATGAAAATAAGGATTTGAAAAAGAAAGTAATCAAGAAACTAAATAAAGCGAAAGAACTTGGCAAGAATAAAATAGTAAAAAGCCTTGCAAAATTGTAAAAGAAAGAGTATGCTGTATTATTTGATCGTAAGAGAGAAAAAGTTGTTCTCTTCTCAAACACATGCGTTTGAGGTTGTTTTTATAGAGAAAACATGATCAATGCGGTCATTTACTGCTCATAATTGCATTGATCCGCATTAATCATGTAGGTTACAATTTGACCGAAACGGCTTGAATTTGAACTATCTTGGGCTTCGCGTGGATCTTCCGAACTCTTTCTTGTTGACTCCGAAATCCTGCGTCTTGACGCTGCCGCGAACCTCGAATAATATTCTCCTCGCTTCGGCCTTTTTTTATGCGAACAGTATGTTGAATAAGAGAGAACTCCGTACTGGTAAAGATCGAGCTCTTTAATAAACTGAATCGAACTCCTGACAGGTCGAGATCAATCCCGGCAACGAAACATCTAGAAATTCAAGAGGATTATTATGTAATAATGACGTGGACAGATCCAAGTGGATCCTACCGAAGATGTGTGGGATCCGACCCTAACATTTAGCCCCCCAAGTCTTGCGAGCTGAGTGCTCGGCTTGGAAGACTTAAGTAAACTGTAATTAATGACTCGAGATCTTTAACATTCCGGAATTATTCCATGTTTTTTGCTATTACGCTGATCTCGGATAATCAGATGATTTGATTTCCCTGACAACCGTCATCATTAATTTCTTAATTTTATATTAATACCACGGGGAAAACCGTCCCACTTCCCAATATTCTCGAGGGGGTTTTCCATCATACTTTAGGGTTCTAAGAGGTAAAATCACTTTTCCATCTTATCTTCTTTACCTAGAAAACTTTCATTCTTATTACAGAAGTCATTGTTTCCTTTCGGTAAAAAATCATTTTTGTAAAATGTCGAACCTTTCTTCCGAATTTCGCGAGTATGAAGTTGATGACCTCGAAGCTCTCATGGGTGAAGGATCCGAACCTCAAATCCATACTGGAGATGAGTTTGATCTTCACCCTCAGAGTGAATCGACTGTCGATTCTCTCGACGATCTTCGCAGACTATGTCACATCCCTCCTGAGGTGGAGATGATAGTTCCAGAGCCCTTCGAGTCTCCTGAGTCGGGACGAGATGGTTACTGCTGTGCCTATGAAATTTATTTCAAAGGGTGCGGCTTATTCTTTCCCCTTCCCGAGATACTTCTTACTTACCTCAACCATCTGGGAATTGCCTTCTCTCAGATGTCGCCCAACATGCTTCGGTATCTTTTGTGTATCTTTACTGTTGCGGCGGAAGCTGGCTACTCGTTGGGACTTTGCGAACTCTTGGAAATTTTCCAGGCTCGCGAATCCCGAACTTCTGGGTATTATGCCCTTTATCCGATCGCTGATCGGAATCTTATTGACAGCCTGCCCTTAAAGGACAACGCCTGGAGGAAGTTTTGGTTCTTCTTCCGTATAAATAACTTTTCTATTCAGAGCTCTTCTGAACTCCTTCGAGTCCACTGGTCATTGAATTTGGGTAGAAACTAGGACTTAACTGAATAAATTTTCTATGTTATTTCAAACTGCGCTTTAACATTTCCTTGTTTTCTCGCAGGTCCCCAAATTCGACCGGTCCCATCCATCGATTTTCTCAACTTCTACAAGGCCGTCTTGGAGAGGCCAGTTAATTGTAATTCCTTTAATTTGGAAAGGATTCACGGTGCCGGATTTTCTGTTAGAATGGGCCTTACTAACCCCGTCGACCCTCCTCCTGCTGGGATTGATCTCTCGAGTCTGAATGCCCGAGATAGGAGAAAGATCAAAGAAGCAAACAAGAAGATCAAAGATCAGATTTCTCTAGTTGGGAAAGACAAGAAAAATGCAACTTCCACCGGAGACGACAAGGTCTACCGGAAAACTCTCCTGGTTGACGATGGATCTCTCGAAGGTTCAAAGTCAATGGCAGTTGCTGTGAACAATGCTTCTCCCTCCATCCCAGCAGCAGACAACATGGTCGCTGCCATCGTTGAGGAGGAAGGCCTTGCAAGTGACACCTCTCTTATGAAGAAGAGGAAGGCCGAGGAACTTGGACCCCTGCCCCAGGGACGTCCCAAGAGCACAAGGAAGGGCAGAGCCGCTCCTTCGAATCTTCCAATTCCTGAACCTGCTGAAGCTCAGGATGCAAATCCTGATTCAGGAACTGTTTTGAAGGAACCGCTGGGTTCAGGGATGTTACCCCCTAGACGCCCCCGGGGCAATACCTCTAGGGTTCGATCATCTCCGAACTCAGGACTGGTTGCCAGAGCTTCGTCTCAAGCCGGTAACCTTTAACTATCATTTTGTTGTTTGAGATTAATAGATTCTTTCTTTAAAGAAAACTCAATTCTCACACAACTAACTTTATTCCAGATAAAGAGAAGATCGGGAATATGTTTAGGTGCTTCCACACCCGTGTTGGGAAGAAGCTTCCATCCTTTGATTGGTGGAAGCCTGATATCAAGAAGATGTACATCAGTCATTCATTTCATTCTTCCCAGGTTTGACTGTTCGCATCCTTAAACAGCCGATTTTGAAAGAAAACATATATATATATATATTTTTAAAAGATTTGTTTTGTTGAGTCCATGAGGATTATTCCGTTTGACGGAAATATTTTGTTCAATTAGTGTGACCGAACACAACCATGTACATGCTCTGGCATATGATTTTTTTTTTTTTTTAGCAAAAACGTTTGGACACGATTCTAGGTTTGCAAGTCCTAGCCCGCCAAAGAGGTTTTATGAATTGTGAGAGATGAGCTGATCAGGCTCACTTGCCTTTTTTAAAGAAAAAATCTTAATAAGTATTTTTCCTCGGTCTCTCGAAGGCGAGGATGGAGCTCGGCTTAAGTTTTCTTTTTATATCGAGGGATAAGATTTATAATTCATGAGAATTTTGTCATAAATACGACCAGGCAATGATTTCGATCGTTGCCCATGATGGCTTCGGAATCGCTGGGCCGCGTTTTAATTGGATCTGAAGCCTGCTCCAACAGGCCAACAATATATAATTATTTCTAGAAATCTGAACCCCTTTCTCCTTTAAAAGGGATTCCAAAAGATCACCTTAGTTCATTATAAGAAAAAACTTGAAAAGATGCCGCTGTCTTCTTTCAGATCAAGCTCAAGAATAACAACTTCAAGTGGGAACCCATTGTTTGAGTCCGAAGACGGATTCTCTCCAAAGGGAGTTATTCACCCAACGTTTTTTCATTTCCGAATAGGGAAGGAAAGGGTCAAATGTTATGACTTCCTGGAAAAGGTTCCTTTTCTAACTCTTAGTCTTCTCAGAAAACTATAACTTCCTTTCTTTTGGTCATTTGACAAAATGTTC